CATGAGGGAATACGCACTGTTCGTCCAGCCGTTCATGTGCGCGTAACCATCCATGCGCTGACCCACCGACACCGAGTTGTTGACGGCGTTGGCACCTGGCGCCAACAGTCCCCCGGGCAAAGAGTACTTGTCTTTCTTGAGCAAGGTCTTGGTCTTCCTGCGGGGACGGTATTTATAATCCGGATGCTCCTTCATGTGCATAGCCCGTAGACGCTTGGCCTCGTCGATGAATGGCCTCTTTTCAGCGTCGGTCAGAAGTTTCCAGTCAGCTCCGAGTCGCTTGCTGATTTCAGAGTTGTGCATTTTGGGGTTTTCTTGCGCCATCTTCCTCCGCTGTCCCCGGGACCAGACCATGAAGGCGTTCATCGGCCGCTTCACCCGCTCCTGGTCGCTGGCACTGTTGTTCTTTGCGCCCGGCGCCGAGCCCGAGTTGGACTGCGGGAGCGGGGTCTTGATCTCGGTTTCCATCATGTTATACATTCAGGCGGCTTTTAGTGGTCAGTCACAGGCACGAAAAAAAGTTCACAGAACAACGCCAAGAGTCAAAGAGGTAGAAGTACTGACCAGACTCATAAGAAGATGGGGAAAAAAGTTGTGCCTCAAGAGGCAAATGTGTCTGCAGGTGTTTCTAGTTCTCTCCGCTCCAAGCTGCTCCTTCCCTCACGGCTGAAACAGAAGTCTGTAAACTTCGCCAAGCTCATGTGTTAATAGGCCTAGAGGCCGGACCATGTGATGTAGATTGACAGCATGACAATGAGGAGCAGGCGACCAATCAGCGCGCAGCTCCCATATCCAGCGCGTAACCAACCGGAGCGCGCACCGCCGTGTTTTGGTCAGAGGAGGAGGGAGAGATAAAGTTTTGAAACAGCAGCGCAGTTTACCAACCTGACGGCAGAATATTTTAGATTTACAACATTTATAATCTGAGAAAGACGATTAGAAGGGAAATACAGCGGATGTATTTTTATTTATTCTTTTTTTTTCTGAGCAGGTGTTGGCTGAATGCATTGAAATCCTTTTGGAGACAAATTAAAACCACACATGGGTGATTTTGTTTTCTATATTTAGGATTCAGTTGAATTAACAAAACGGCTTAAATACCGTGTGGAAACGCGTAGGCTTCATTTGATGTTAAAGTAAGAAAACTAATCTGATATTTTCTTAGTGTCAGTAAATGAATGAAAGGTGGATCCTGACAGGCCAAACCGGCGTTAAACAACCGCAAATACTTACAGTAAAAAAAAGAAAGAGAGAAATAAAAAGAAAAACAGGAAATTTATAATAAAATGTGACATTAAAGAATCATTTCTGTTATTCTTCTACCTGCTGTCAAGCTGTCTTTCGCTGTCTTTTCTTTAAACACACTTTAACAAACCACACTTGTCAATATGTGCCTGCAGAAACCTTAATCTCACCTATTTTAGGGACTTCAATGACCCTCCGCAGATTGATCACATACATTTTCTTTTCTTTTTTTTTTCTTGATTTGGTTTAAATGACCTGAATATTTCTGGGGAAAAAAACCTTTTAAGTCACCTACTTTGACGATTTTTTTTCTGCCTTTGGGGAGTTTTTCAGTCTCTCGGCTCTGCGTAAAATAGTGCCCAACATGATTTTCATCTAAACCCTGAGGCAAAACTTTAATAAGGGATGAAATTATTAAATTCCTCCTGTAGTAGTCGTCTTGCAAGTTAAAACATATACAAATGTTTTTTTTTTTAAATAATTTAAGCAGAATAAGGGGGATCACTGCACTAATCTAAAAACTCTACTTTTTTTTTTAACATATAACGAAAAGTAAGGAATAGTTGCATTTTAAATGATATTATTTTTGTTTTTCTAGAGAAAAATAATAGTGTACTTCATTCCAAATTAAATTAAACTGGATGTTTCTGCAGCATTTCGGTTCCCACAATGCAAAACTTTAATACATCAACGACCTCTTGTGGAGGAGAAAGAGTATCTCTGGAGTCTCTGAGGAAAAGTTGGAGACTGCAAACAGCTCGTGCTCGACTCATAAAAAATGTTCTGCTGCTGTTTGCAGACTTGTTTTCTCTCCGCTGCGTTAATGGTTGTTAACATGATTAGCATGGAGTGGTCGTCATTTGCATGTGTGTCCTTACAAACGACTTTGACGCCATTGAAACCGATCGCTCAACAGGGCGAGGCTCACACCTGCTAATGATTGCGAGCGAATCGCCGAACGACAACCACTATTAGCACCTCGGTATCTGGATGAGGTGCTCGGGAATCATCCTGGTGTGTGCATTTTTACAGCGTTTCACCTCCTGCAGCTTTAAGATGCTGCTACTGTGGGCATTTGTGGCCTGTACGAGATGCACCGCGGTGCGTAAAGCAGAGGACTCGTATTATTATTTTTTAAATTATTAATAGTATAGCTGTAGCACAGAGCCGAAATACACACATAAAAATCCAAATCTGGTTGCAAAGAAATTCTAAATTATGAATGAATGCGTCCTGATGTATAACATGAATTATCAATGAACTGACAACAGCTGTCAGTCTTTGGTTCTTTCTTTCCAAAAATGAGTGAAAGTCTCTGTTAGTCCCAAAAGGTAAAAATAAAACCAAAGCCCAACTTTTATCCAAAAATGTAAGTAGAAAAAAAGTTCTTTGCGGCCATTATGCAAAATACATTTCTATAAGTTGCACCGGGAGGGTTTTAACCGAAAATCAGACGTAAAGAAAAGGTGATAATATTTTTCGTGCGTAAAGGCGCAACGAGCTTCCAGAAACGTGTTATCTCAGCCTGGAGCCCCCCAGCCACATAGTTGTAGTAAATCAGCTGAAAAGAGACATCACTTCATGGATTTAATTTCCACGTTCAATGGGGCGTGACAAACAGCAGCAGGAGCAATAAAACTAACGTCCAATTAGTAGTCATCTAATTCTCAGGGACCAGTTATTTGTTTATCTGTGCGAATCTCATACTGATCCGCTTGTAATCTTCTTATGGAAATTGACCGGTAGCAGAGAGAGAGAGCGAGAGAGAGAGAAAGGAGGTTAAGAAAAAAAAAAAAGCACCAGGAGTAACATAGAGTTTGGTAATGAGGGCCTCTGTGCAGCTAATTTCCTAATTAAGGAACGGAGGACCACCAGCACAGTCTGCTCTGATTCAGACTCAACAAGCCTGACAGCCCTGAGGGGCTCTCAGGGCGCACGGCTGCAAGATCCCATCGCTGAATGTTGGGAAATATGTGGATGTCCTGATGGGAGGATGCATGCAATCACCTCAATCGTGGATAATTTAATGTTTTTTTCTTTTTTCTTTAAAAAGAAAAAAAGAGAGAGAGAGAAAAGGAGTGAATCGCGCGTGTGCACGCAGCGTAAAAGCTCCAAAATTAACGATTTCTTCAAAGAAAATAGTTGCATTTTAGAATTTTTTTCGTTTTAATCAATACAATAAACGCAAATGTGTTGTTTGAATTAAACATTTCTGTTAAACGGCAGGATATTTTGTAACTGAAAATAAATGTTTTTGAGGTTGGAGAATAAAGGTTGGCCTTTGGGCCTTTAGAAAATAAAACAAACAAAAGAAACGTTAGTTATATTTGTCCAGAGCTTTGGAGGAATTAAAATCCATTCAGGTGGACTAAGTGACACAGAGGCATTAATCCCACACGTCCGCAGCCTCTCCTCGGCTGTCAATGGAGCTTTATGGTCGCACAATTTGGATTCATGACGCACACAAAACGCGCTCAACTTTAATATTATACGACAAGACACTGGCGCTGCGTGTCTGCCATTCAGCCTCCAACAACCAACTGATAATAGCTTGTAAATTATTGCCTTTTTTATTGCCTTTGTGTCGTGTAACCCGCATTTACAATCTCATTTTTTTCTCTTTTTTTCTTCAAAACTCCTCCAAAGGGATACCTTTTAAAATCAAAAACTCGCATCTGAAATCCACAATAAGCAATATTATTTTTACGTGTCCATTTTAAACCCCACGACCTCCTGAATCTATAACTTTTTTTTCTTTTTTGTTTCAGCTCAGTGACTGCGGACAAGGCCTTTGAGAAACAGTAATTAACAAAGAATGGGTTTTCAATTACAGCCACAATAGAGACTGTCTCATTAAGATTTGCATGATTTTTGGACCAGGAATGCAAATGAAGATGCAATTTACGCACGGTCTGCTGTTCCCATTGTGTGGCCTGAATGGTTGCGTCCTCCCAGTTCAACACAGGTAAAATAATATTCACGGGTCATTTAAAGGAATAAAAGTGTTGCTATTATCACCTCTTTATTACACAAAGCTGGGCTGGTATTGCTCATGGTAATTTGACTTATTTGACCCGTGAGAGCTGCCGTTGACAAAATATACCAGAAAACTGACATCCAACATTTTTACTCTGTGAACTGATGACTTTTTTTTTTCAATCACCTCTTTGACACATTTTTGCAAACACACTTCAGTCAGAGTTTATTCATTTAATTCAGGAATTCTGCAGTATATTTATTTTTTTATTCCTGAAACCTGCTTTGGAAAATTATGATCTATTCTAGCAACAGGTATTCATCATTTATGTTACTAGATCTTCGGGGCTCTGAATGAGAGAATCTTTTAAATAGACTCTTGTCATATTAGAAATAATAATATGAAAGTATTTATTGCAAAGAGCTTTGAAAAACAAACAACAAATACATGTAAATGGAAAAGACTTTAGTTTTTTAATCTAATGAAGCTATTTTATTATTATTATGTTGACAAATAAAATGTGTTTTGGGTTTTTTTTAACAAGAAAGTATGCACAAGTCTGTTGGCCAAAAGCCTTGCAATGAAAAGCAGATTTGTTGAAGATGACTTTGAAAATGTGTTCCCTGCTCACACACAGAAGGAGAAGAAGTTTGCACCAGGAAATTTAGGAGAAATGGGATTTCCAGCTCTGCCATCACTTTTTTTCTGATTGTTCCCTCCCAGAGCTGCTGGAGTTTCGGTCGCCACAAGAGAGAAACAGGCAGATGAATAAACTTACCACATGTCCGGACCTCAGTGACCATCTTCTGACTTGTGGGCCCATCTGAGGCGGCGAAGGTTCAGTCATTAGGAGGAAGGGACTGTCGTTCAAACCTTTAAAAGAAGCAGAGCACACATTCAGAGGACAGGTGCATCAATTTGCAGGAGAGCTTTAGTGGAGTGTTGCAGGTCTGTCAGGAGGATTCGGGGGGCTAATGGAGAACCCTGCATTCTTCCCTCCACTGTAGCAGAGTAATTTGTGCGTTCATTGTTTGTGGCGGTCGGGCAGCGGAGCACAGGAGTGTTGTGCCTGCACTCAACAGTCACCTTGTTCGGCTCTGGAATGTAACCGTCTTTTACTTATTGACCTCTGCTTGTAAAACAACATGCAAAAAGCTGTTTGCCTCCTGTAGCTGCCTGCGCAGACCGCTTCAAACTTGAGCCTCTTTTTCTCCCCGGCAGGCCAAGCATGTCCTTCCTCATTATGTTCTTGTGTGAGCAAGGCCAAGGCTGCTGACACAGACCCAGTGTAATCTCTTTAACCCGCCACTGTCATGAGCAGACAAGGCGTGACCACCCAACACTCTGCTCCATCTCACTTAGCCAAAGGGAATAGTCTTTCACCTCATCGCCTCGCCCCTCTTTGGGCTTGTAGCTGCTTATCATCTAGGGATGCACATTTCAAACACATTTGATCACACACACACACTCGGGGTTAATCGCTGTTACAAGACCACTCAATAAAATCATGTGCAGCGGCGTGCAGTTAGAAATTCATATACTCACTGACCCTTGGAGTTCCCATAATTGACACAAGCATTTTTGGCTGTGGTTATTGGCTAATGAAGCTAAAAAGCAAATGAAATTATATCACAGCAGAGGACAACCGGGGGGAGCACTTTTAAATGAATATACAATGATTACTGGCTCCTTGATGTCATTTCTCAGACAAAGACTCTTTACGTTTACTTAGCAGATTAGGGGGAAACATTCATATTAAAGCATTTGGTATATGATGCGTTAAATGAAAAATAAAAAACTAAATTACTGTGAATTATAAGCCCCTATCCATTGAAAGCTAATTTCAATTCAGTTTAAATTAAGCAGAAAATTTCAATAAATATGGTTTTTGCTTCTAAGCCACTGGGTGAGGGTGTATTAAGCCATCCAGCGCACAACATGACTTCTGTGTTTGCTCAGGAACAAAGTCTGCCGCCTAAACTTCCTCAGCTGAAGCTCAGCTCACACTTGAACCTCTAATCTGTTTCATTTATCCTCAACAGACACACATTACATCTCATTTGCTGGAGTTTTTTTTTGAGGGGGGGGATCATGAGATGCACTCTGCTGTGTACATGCAACAAAAGAGAAGAGTTTAAATTGAGTCTCCAGATGCTTTTTTTAATTTTTAATTTTCTTGCTCCAACATTAAAGTTAATGATCGTCTGTCACAGCCAGCAGATGCCTCCTGCTTAAAATTGCTGCATTTGAATGGCATTATCAAGCACCTCTATATGATGATCATTTTAAGGACTGTTATTGCCTGACTAGCTAATTACAGCGCTCATTATTTTCCATGTATCTGTTGAATCATTGCCATGTTCAGTTTTTTTCCAAAAACAATGGAAACTTTCTTCGTTTTTTGTTTGGAAGAAAGTGCTGAATCGTCACTTTTTGCTTTGCGCCATGCCCAAGCAAGCAGCCCTCTTTTGTTTTAGCCATAATTGAGATCCCACTAATCTAGCCTCTTTTAAAAAATGAAACGCTCTCTTTGTCGAGCCTTCATTAGTTTAAGATAATATTGTGAGAATGCACAATTAATTTGCGGTGCAACTTTAATTAATTAAATACACCCAATTTTGTAATATGATTAATGCCACCAAGTTGTTATCTGTATTCTCCTCCAAAATGAATATGTAACAGCGATACAGCACTGAGCATTAATTGCAGAAATTGGGGGGCTTTTAAGCACCAAAAAAAGGAAAGGAAAAAAAACTAGGTTAGGTAATTATAAGAGGTAATTTATTAAATCTTAAATAAAGAAACAAACAAGCATAAATTGATATATAAATCATGAGCACCACAATGTGTAATCTTGGCTGCGATTTGGGAGAAAATGACAAATCTTCGTGGCATGCCAAGCACTTGATAAAGCAGATAGTGGTCATAAATTTAGTCCCAGTCAAGGTCTCATTAAAAGAGGCATAATTTAATTAAGAGTTAGGCATCGCCCTCTAAATATATTAATTACCTTGAGCATGACGAGATAAGTGTGGTGATTATTGCGTATTTCATTAGACTACGTCTTCTGGGAGAAGAGCAAACTAAGGTGGGGAGCTGGCTGTGTTGACAAGATAATGGATGGGCTGGCCTGAGATGAATTTGGTCACCTTGCCCTGGGTTGAGCTCCGAGAGGTGACACAGAGGACAGCACAGGTCCTGGGATGGTTCAGCTACGTTTACTGGGACTCTAATATTTAGAAACTTTCATGTGAATATCTACATTAAAAAAGAGAGATTTCATGTTTTTGCTGAGATTTTAATCACAGTTTCAATCTCAGCATGCAAAAACAAAAGGTGACTTTAATTTAGAATCAAAATGTGTCTGCGTGGCATCTTCAGTATGAAAAGTAATTTTCTGCACCACACTGGAGCTCATAATGCAAGATGCATTTTTAATTTTTAAAATGAATTTGGCCTTTCCAGAACGAGAAGGTCCAGCTGAATCCTTGAACGTGTGGTTTGTTGTGTTCAATATTAGTGTTGCTTTACCATCTAAATACAGAAGAGTATAAAGAAAAAAATTAAATGTAGGTCTTAATATAAATGCTGGACCAAATGTCAGCGGCTCAGCCCATTGTGGTGCGTTCATTATGTCTTACTTTTACATTCCCGTTTATATCGAAGGCTGCTTTCACCAACACAGCTTCCTCGTCGTGCCACCTATTTGTCCACACACACACATCCGTGTGCAGATCAGAAGTGTGCAGAGGCGACGGCTCATTGCCCCATAGACTGTAATGTCAATGAAACATACAAGATGTTTGCTGCTGCATTGGAGAGATTTCCAGCCTCGCTCCTCTCCTGGCTGACAGCAGGACAAAGAGTCTCGGCTACTATTATCTGGAAGCAAGCTCTCATTCTTGCTTTCATCCGTATACAAACATAGATGTACACAGAGCTCAGCATAAAGTCACTGATGCATCCGGTGTGCATATCACACAGGATGAACCTTTGGAGCTGGAGAGAGTTGGAGCATTGTTAAAAAATAAATAAAAATAAAAAGTAGTTGTATATGATTTGTTGTAGAAGAAATTGCTGCAGTGAGTTTTTTTCCTGCATTTTTTTTTTACTGCAAAGAAGCAGCAGAACTTTTATATCTTGCGTTACTTTTATATGTGAAGTTACCTTTGAGTTGCCAGACTTTACGACTCTGCTCTGCTTTAATGTTTCTGATTCTACTGTGTCTGATCAGGAAGTCGCCCACAGACCAACAGGTGACAGGTAAAAAAAATTTTAAAAAGAGTGATTTTGGAGAAATCAGACCAACAAATATAGCAAATGTGCGCAGACCACAACTCGCAGAACACAAAGCTCCCTACACCATCTTCCTGAACGCCCCCTCCCCTCTTCTCTCCTCTCTTTGCGACTAACCTCCTCCCACTCTGGCCAGAAAATTGAGGACACTCACCAAAGCTCTCACTGGTCCCAAGGCTGCTGCTGCTGCTGCTGCTGCTGCTGTTTCCCAATCCCTCAGTTAGACACACCTTCAACAGCTGACTGTCAGCAGGCCCAAGAGCAGGACTCTAAGACAGCAGGAGACATCCACAGCCCACAGCCTCCAGCCACAGCCATTGAAACAGGAGTACCTCCACCAAGGCGGCTCCCAGTGCTGCAGAGAAAATATAAAAGCGTGAGAGAGCTGGGCAGTCACTGGTATGGTAGTGCACACTGCAGCTGAGCTCTCCCTGCTCTGGGACCCATCTCATTCAGCCAAGATTGCTTCATACAAAAGTTGACAATGCACCAGTGAAAGCCATTGTTGATATTCAACATTTTTTAAATAGCTGAGCAGAATAGACAACATGGCAGCCTGCAAAACTTGGCAAGGGAAACTGACCTGGAGCTTCCCCGTTTGAAAGGGTTGCCACGCTGGGTGAGAGGAGAGAGGGCTATTGTGTTAAAAAAAAAAAAAAAAAGAAAAAGAGGGAGGGCTGGCGTGAAAGAGCTCAAAAAACAAAACATCTCCCATCCCAGGAGAGCAGAGTACAATGCTCTCTGTGCAGCAGGAAGAGGACAATCACCTTGCTTAGTCACAAGCATATATGCATTACCAAGAAAGAGCAGGACAATGAAATCAGTGCAATCAGATCCCATTTAAAACGAGTCTCCTGACTTTTAAACCAAACAAGGAGGCAACAACCACACTCGAGCATGCGTGTCAACTGTTGTTGCCTTTACGCCAAAACTTCCAATTATGATTCCCCCTCCGTGCTTGGCCACCGTCCAGAGGAATGTCTCGCAGTGAGCCATCTATTCCGCTAATGTCGCACAGATGAGGATGATACTGGCTGCTGCTGGTGATGGTGTTGTGTTTCCATCATTGTCAGGCTGACAAGCGTGCAGATTGATATGGATATTTAAGAAGCCTTTAACCTTCCATATGTCAGAGCATCACAGTGCCGCTCGTGCCTCAGACGGTATCAATACATCTAATGTGGAGCGTATGTGCAGGTGTGTGTGTGCGTGTGAATGTGTGCCCGGTGGCCTTGAGGCAGGTCCCAGTGTTGTGTTTCACGCATCCTCGTGTCTTGTGGTGAGAGCAGAAAAGGAGGGGTGTTACATGGCCTGAGTGAATAATGTGGACAAAGCTGATCAAATTCTGAGTCTAAGCATTGAAATATTCTTTCATTTGTGTTGGCTGCTGCAATAAAACTACAAGGACTGTCACTAATGTAAAGGAAACAAATGGCCATGGTATAACAATAGTTAAAGGAAAACTCAGGGATTCAGTTCAGAGTGTCATAAAATACAAACCACCTACAAATCTTCACTCACTCACTGAAAAGCCATACTATTTTTATTCAGTAATTTATTCATATTATTAATCTTTTTAGAAAATTGTTCTAAGTTCGAGTCGTGTCAGCTGACTGACTCTGATTTTGGGTCCCACAAAGTAAGATTAATTGCCAAATAAACCATTTTTTCTCTCTATTTACCCCGCGTTACACCAATTACAGAGTATGAACTTTAACCATCATGAGAAAACAGAAGCTAAAACACATCGTCTTTGGCAGACCGTCAAAAAATATGACACATTCTGGTATGAAAGCAAAAATTTAAAAAAAAAAGTCAGGTAAAGTGGGGAATGAGCTGTCAAAAAGGGCCAGAAGAACATCAGAGAATTTGTGAAATCATCTCAGTAATGTTAAGTGCACAACTTCTGTAACAAAAGCTGTTCCTGCTTGCGTCTCACCTGGAGGCTTCAAAGTAGTGACGCTGAGTTTTGTGTGTGTTCGCATGCATGTGTGTGAACAGAGAAACAGGACCCGTCCAGCCCTTTGGCTCAGGCAGGCTTGTAGTTGGAGATGTATAATTACACTGATCAGGGAGAAATCACAGCTCTGAGAAAGAAGGCCGGGCCCTGGTAATCTTATAGGTGTGTCAGACAGAGGGAGGCAGAGACTCGGGGAGGGAAGGAGAGCGAGGGGGAACCTGTGGCGTCTTTACTGGAAATCCACGTCAGTGCAACCCATCACACACTATTAGCTGCCATCAAAGCTCTAATTTTACTCTAGCATTACACCCCGCTCCCCGTGTCCCCCCTCCCTCCCCCGCTGGTCTGGATGGTGCAGCCTGGTGGGAAAACGACATTCAATCCGCTGTCTGCCCCATTCAGGCCAAATTGGCAAATGACAGCTCTCCGCCTCTCAGATTGCGGGAAGTGAAAGGTACCACTGCCACCATCCGCACCGAGCCTCCTAAAACTGCCGAGGGGGGGAAGGGAGGAGGAGGAGGAGGAGGAGAAGAGTGGGGAAGGAAGAAAGGTGAGTCCAGAGAGAAAGAGTGAGAGCCGGTGAGGCCGAGGAGTGGACTGAGGCGGGTTAACAGCGGTGACGGTGCTGGACAGAGAACACAGAGAAAGGAGAGAAGAATGCCTACTCAGCAGATCAAAGGAACTTCCCTGAGACCAATAAGAAAAGTTGACCTCAGTCCCTTAATCACCCACTCTACCACCCGGGGCCGGCCCGAGCGGGCAGATCAGAAAGCAGCATTTGCCCTCGTGGAGGTCAACAGCAGCGAGAGAGCAGCACACAGAGTTAAATCTCATAGGAGGCCTGCTGACTTGGGAACAGGGACCTGTGGGGGGACGAGTCCAGCTTCTCTGGATCTGTGTGAGACGCATTCACCTTGAAATAGACTAATTTAACATGCACTGCACACTGTAAAATGAATTCACGGGACCTATTATCACCACTTACTAAATACATTTAGATAAACGTTTTACGCTGCAGGCACATGAGGATGAGTTGAGTTGATGTAATAATGCTGATCGCTGCATCAGTGCAAAACTGTGTGTCATTTAAACTCACTTAGTTGATTTAAAACGTCACGTAATGAGACTAGCATGACAACTTCATTTTCCTGAGCTATCCAACACTGTAAAAATGTACAAATAGTAATTTGTTTTACAACATTTGACGCAAAAGTGATCTTTTTCTTTTAACTGTATTTAAATCTGCGGAAATCTGGGATTGATTTTGCAGATATTTTGTGTTATTTGGAAGAAAAAATTCTGTATATTAAGGACTGAAAAGTATGAAGAGTATATAGTGACTTCATATCACAAATATGTATTTTAACAATAGTAAGTTGTCCTTTTACAATGTATAACTTTAAAATTACACATTATTACTGTAAGTAAATCAGCTAGAAATATATGTTATGTTATGTTATGTTATTGGCTGTTACTTCTGCAGTCTTTTTCAGTTTTCAAACATCAGCCAACAACAGTTTTTTAACTTTTTTTTTTTCTGGCACACTTGCTGCCAGATTTTCAGACTTTTTAGTTTTAGATATAAACCAACTGAACAGTCTCGCAACTTGACCTTCAAAAATTTGCCAACTTGAAAGTGTGTGTTCATAATTGTGGGACTTTGGCACATAACACCTAAAAAAATCTTTTAAATAACAGGGAAATGCTATTTGGAACTGCCTACTTTTTATGAGTAATCAGCTTACAAATGTGTGCTTATGCTACCAATCAATAAGTAAGTGGTTCTCCAAAACTCATTTAATTGTTAATTCCCCTGACCTCAGTCTAGTTTATTGATTGAACATAATTTCATCAGTAGTTGTCATAACTCAAAGAGATGCGTTATTTCTTGTGTGAAAACGTTACTTTTTTAGAGCGTGTACGGGAGCAGAACTCGTGCACGGACAAACAACAGGGTCTTTCATCAGTATTTTACCATGACACACAGGGAAAAGACACTGAACATATTATGTTAGACACTAACTGGCTGCCTGACTGAATGGTACTCTTAGCGCTAATTAAGTGCTAATGGCAGTTCCTCCTGCGGAGAATACTAATTAATGCTCCATTCTTCTGCGTCCTGAGCGCGCACTCCACGGCGGCCTAATGAGGGGAGGCAGGTACGTCTTCTCCCAGGCTGGGTTAATAAGCACAACACAGTGGGGTCTGAGTAGAGAGGGCCATACCGGGGGGCTGCTTCCTGTTCCCTAATCTTAACAGACCCCCCTCAGAACACTCACAATGAGCCGCGGAGGTAATGAAAGGATTGGTCCCGTAAAAACGCAGAAAATAGGCCAGCTTGTGTTGTCTGCGTGGATGCCATCTCAAAAGTTTGGCTGTCTGGAGGAAATTCTCTATTTAGGAGAACAAAAATGAATCTGCAAAGTAAGAGGAAATCATATAAAACGTCCGTATTTCACTCTGAAGCGCATCTAACTATGTACATTGTAGAACTTTACGCAAAAAACTTTTCTTTTTGGGAAAAAAAAAAAAAAAAGCTCCTTGACACTGAGCATGTTTCGCCGTGTGTGTCCTCCTACAGAAACTGCTGATGTCCCCCCTCTTAGAAAACAACTTCTATTTTTATATAGTTTCCAGCTCCCTGAGAATATGCAGCGCCCAGAAATAAATAAATACATTACCTGTTTGGATGCAGAAAAGCCTGGGAATCAGATTCAAAGTGCTGAAGAATGAATGGATGTGCGAGTATGTGGCTGCGCGCATGAGCGTAAACATAGATTGAGGACGGTATTGGAATTACCTGAGTGAGATAATGGCGGTGCATTAGATTAACTTTCAGGCCTTAAATGCAACACATTTAGGCAATCTTGTCCCCCCCCAAAAACATGTCAATGTCTGAAAGGCCTCTCTCTCGCTATCAGGAGCCTCTGGTCCCCCACACTGATGCAGCTGGCAAGGCGCTACCGTCGACTGTCAAAACGCAGCGCCAGATCTAGTTATAAAATAATTGAATTTTCATATCAGAGGGGACCAGAGTCCCTGCAGACAATAGGACTGCTGAGTCCTCTCTGATATTGGCTCAGGCCCTTTGCCATGCGCATGAAATCAGTATGTTAATGTTCCGGGGTTTTCTTTTTTTAAGGGCACTTGTGCTCTCGCAATGTACTACCGATGCGGTTTCAAAAAAAAAAAAAATGCAACTATTGATAAGTAGGCAGCCAGCAAACCCCCCTCTCCTCGACCCCTCCTCCCACCCAACATCCCCACCTCCCCCCTTTTTCCTCACCCACCGAGGCTCTAGACGTTCTCGCACCCCCCCACCTCTCCATCCTCCTTTTCCTCTTCTCTCCCCCCCATTATTAAAATTGTAATTTATTTTTCTAAATCAGAATGACAGCTTGCTTTCTTTTCTCTGCAGCAGCCACTGAATCACCGGAGCTTTA